TTCTGCCTCTCTTTCTCCTCTGCAAGGGTACATCTCATCCAAGCCGAACCTTTCATGGGTGATGAACTGTTAACGACTAGACAGTTTGTTCTCTATCAAGCAGGGGTGAGTGGAGGTCAGCCAAGTTTGCCTCACCCAACATTTAACAAGATACATGGTAGCAGGGGTGGCTAGACTGTGTAAGAAATGCCCTTGAGTCACAATTGAAGGTTGGAAACAATGCTAATATTCTGAAACGCAATGCCACCATTTTCCAAGTGAGAGGAGCTGCCCAAGAGACACGAGCCCTTGTCCCTCTGTGCAATGGGAGTGGTGGATTCTGACAGCGGCCTGCAAAGACACTCAACAATGCCTTCCCAGAGGAGAGGGAAAGGCTTCCTTTGGTCCCGCTGAGTCAGGGGGTTCTCCTTGAGGGTCCCCACTGTGTCACACTCCTGTCCTGATCCAGAAGCCCTAAAATGCACTTGCAGTTAACATATTCCATAGGTCTCGAGATGAATGTTTTTACGATTTTAACATCTCTGACACTGGTCAGCGTCTACAATAGGTGCTGTCCACTGTTGTCAGCTGCCGTTGAGTTGGCCCCCAGCTCATGGTGATACCATGCACAAAGGGATCGGACCGTTGTGATCCACAGGTTTTTCACTGGCTGATTTTTTGGAAATAGATCACCAGCCTTTCTTCCTACTCCATCGTAGTCTAGAAGCTCCGCCAAAACCCATTCAGCATCATAGCAACACGCAAACCTCCACTGACAGACGTGTGGTGGCTGCATGTGAGGTACACTGGCCAGGAAGTGAACCTGGGTCTCCTGCATGAAAGGCAAGAATTCTACCACTGAACCATCACTGCTGTAATGGGTGGACTAGTGTCCCTAAAACGTTCATGTCCACCTAGAACTCAGAATATGACCATATTTGGAAACAGGGTCTTTGCAGATGTAATTAAGGTTAAGGATCTCAAGATGACTTCATCCTGGATTAGGGTGGGCCCTAAATCCATTGAGAGTGTCCTTGTAAGAAACAGAAAAGGACACACAGAGACACAGGGATGATAGCCATGTGAAGATGGACGCGGAGATTGGAGTTATGTAGTCACAAGCCAAGAAAAGCCTGGAGCCACCAGAA